CTACTGGGTAGGTTGCATGAAGCCGAACATTGTATTAATAAACTTTTATTTCTTTCATACTGGGAGCAGCATGAGCTTGCATTCCTTCCATTCTGATTCTGTTTCATGTAGTCTTTTATGGCCATTATCTGAGTGCCAACAGGTAATGTATGAAGCAATTTAACCTCAGTGTAATTTGGTATGTCTTTTTATCTGTTTATTTTTCTTTTTTTTTCCCCTCCTAGGTAGTTGCCAAATACTTTCTTAACATTAATTCAGAAAATAAATAAGATTCAGTCATAAAGGTGGAATGACACCAGCTAATTAACCCTTAAAATCTTTCTAGACTCCTTCTTTTTGTCCCCTGAAGAGCCTTTTACAAACTGAAACTGCAGGTAAAGTGTTGTATTTCCAGAACCTAACTTCACAAGCATAAGCCTGGCATGACTGTGTCCTCCCTCTGAACAGAGGAGGGGGATGACTTTCTGTACCCCGTTGAAGATACAGCCAACTATTTAACTAGATCAGGATTGCGTTATGCTGTGCACTCTTTGCTGTGCTCTTTTTGCCCTTTTTTTTGTTTTTCCTTCATATTGCAGTTGATTTTCTCTGTATATATTTCCCCACGCTGTACATTTGTTGTGTCTGCAGCAAGGCCTGACATCACACAGCCTATCTCCTTCACGGCCAGGAGGAAATGGACATGGGACTTGTCAGTGTCTTTGTTGACAAGCAACACAAAATGTATTATGTATTTTAGCCATTTACTGGGAACATTAACTTCTTGGAGGGGCTATTGGAAAAATCAGTTCCATAGCTTTCTGAAAGAACTTTTGCACCTTGATTTTGAAGACATTCTGGGAGCTTTTTTTTTTGTCTTTCCTGTTCGGTTAAAACCTGGGTTCCCCTGCTGCAGCTGTTCTGTTTTTAATGTGTTGCTCCATTTCCAGGCAGACATTCCCTCTTCGAGAGGAGTTCATTTTTCTCTGGCTGTTTTTACATTTGTCTTCTCTTTAGGAGCTTACTCTTTTGGTCTGTCTCGGTTCACTGCAGCAGCAGAACCTGTGATCAACAGCAATATAAAGGAGAAAAAAACAGAACTCCACTCTGAATAAGAGCTTTTTCCCCCCTTCTTATCAGCTTTTTTTTTTCCTGATCTCTGGAAATGGGATTCTACAGGCTCCTGGATCCAAGGAAGCTTGGGAAGGAACGCTTGCACCACAGTCTGGACTGCTCCTGTGAAAATGCCCAAATGAGGCTGTCAAAATGTTAGTGCAAGAGCACGAGACTTGTATCTGCAGTATATGAAAGATGGGAGCCTAACTAAGCACTCAGGTTCTCACCATGATGCTTGGGTAAGCCACCACCCAATCCTCACCACTTGCCTGGTGGCTGCGTTGTCACCCACAGCAGAGTCGTGGTGAGATGTCAATTTGAGCTGCTGGTTGTCACTTGCACAAGCCCAGGAGCATCTGACTAGAACTGATTTTCAATTTGTAGTAGTGTTTTGTGGAATATGCTTTAAAAAGTGGTTTAAAGGTGATCCACAGCATGCATCTCAGTTTCAAGAAAAATTTAAAGCCAAAGATTTCAGGTAAACCTGTTTCCTAAACAATCATTGTGGTTACATTTCATTTTTTTTTCTTCTCTTGCCAAAAGCCAAACTCGTAACTACTATTTGATGAAAATTAACTCTTTATACTCTCCCTTTCCATCAGTGTAAGGTGTCCACTTGTTTGGTGAGGCTTGGACCTGCCTGATATTATGGTCACCTAATGAGGACATATCTTGCTGCAAACATATGGTGGCTTCCAGGCCTTTTCCAAGTCTGAGTCTGCACAATATCCAACATGAAACTCCAAGTGTGGATTAAGGTGCAGCCAGGACAGACTGCCCGGAGCAATGTCCTGACAGGCACCCCATGGGTTGTCTGTCAGCAGTCTACAGTAGGCATGGGAGAGGTGGACGAAGTCATGCCTGTGCCATCTCTAGGGGATGCCTTAGGACCCACCACTGTCACTAGCAAGCTGATAAGGGAACAGGATGGGAGGCTGAGACATCAAGTTGTCATGGTCTTATAAAAAGAGTGTAGAGGGGAAAAGCCCAGAGGGTAAGCAGCTTTCTCTTTCCCAATGAATATTTATCTCAATTTCACCAGCATCTTTGCACTGGCCAGGTATCATCAAGTAGGTATTTTGAAGTAAGGAGACCTGATTTACTGATTGGCAGAAAGACTGCCAATAGTATATTAAAATGAGTTCCTGTTGTAGGAAGAGTTGAAAAGAGCATTCAGAAGAGGGTTGGTCACCCACAAGAAATTTTAATAGATGAGATTTGGCTATCCCCTCCCTTTGGTGTTTTTTTTCTGGAGTATTTTGTGGAACAACATAAAACTGAAAATTCAGCTACTAACTAGACAGATGGAAGAGATGGGGAGTGAGGGAAGACCTTCTCAACATGGCAGAATCCACCCGAAAACCTAGCAGGACGATATTGGGGGGCAATAATAAATTGTGAGAGGTAATAAAGCGACAGGCAAAGATGTGGCAGCGGCAGCTCCCCTCTCCCCTCTGACACTGCAGACCGTCCCGTCTGCGACGTAGGCAGACTATTCTCCACAGCGAGGAGGCAGAGGGTGGAGCTCGGCGCCCGTATAAATTATATGTGTCCTTCAGGTTATTCAAGCAGCAACAACCAGCTGCGAGCGTGTTTGTCAGCTGACAGATCTGTTACCCCAACTGGGCTTTCTGCAGCTGTCGCCATCTTGCACCTCATGGGGAGCCCACCGGCCAAGGTAAGAGCACGGCGGCTCCGGGCCTGGCCGCGGCCCAGCGCCTCGCTGCTGGCACCTCCCCGCTCCCTCCTCGTCGCCTCTGCGGCGGTGTGGAGAGGTCATCTGCAGCTTTGCAGCTTCACTGCCTTCCCCTTTTACCTCACGGTAGCTAACGTGGGAGTTCAGCAAAAACCCAGAGAAAAACGTCACCCTTTTGTTTTGCTGTGAGGTGTAGGCGCTGGAGCGAGCGCCGGGAAGGGAGGGCTGGCCTGGGTGAGTTTATCTCCCTCTGAAATGAAAATGCTTTAGCCCTGCTACATGCTTGTCTCAGGATAGCACATGTTCCTTGCTGAGAAAGCCCAACAGCTTTGTCTCACAACAACGCACAGTTGAGATGACTTTAGCTGCAGGGGAGAGTTCTCATCAGCTATTTGGCTGATTTCGCTGGCTTTACTGTAAAGTTTACAGCATCTGCCATCCTAGGGGAAATATTTCATGTCTGGACTTGAGTCTTCTAGTAGTAAGTTCCATTCAGAGATTTTTAACTGATAGTTTTTGGTATAAATCAACGGAGTTATTAGCTGAAAGTTAGTTTGGCATGTCTTGTAAAAAGTAATGGGCACGGTGTCTGAATTGCAAATGCGAATTATTTACAACTAACTCTTCTTTATGTATCAAACCCTATGTCAGATTTTGCAGCAAATAAGAAATATGGGCATTAATGGGTTTTAACTATAGTGAGAAATGATGTTACATGCTCTGGCTTATAGAGAATGATAAATCATGAAGATTAAAGAATACTTACTAGACTTGTGCCATGGTAATACATGCAGGTGAAGTTAAAGATTCAGGAAAATATCAGTAGTTTGAACAGACAGACCAAATGACAGATTAAAAATGTTCAAACATTTGATGCTTAGGGCAAAGAATAGAAATTGTCAATGTAATCACCTTTCTGGATAAAATCTGTATCTATCTACCGGTTAGATCCAGAGCTATCTATCTTAGATATAAATACTATCTAGCAATTTCGAGCATCAATGTTGCATCTAATAAGATAATTCTGGATCTGATAGATGAGTAGATAGCTTTGGTATCATTTTATCTAGAAAGTCTCATTTACAGTGGAAGTTCCTGCATTTCATCCTAATGCTGCAACTGCTAAATACTGACATATTCCTGGTTAATAGGCACCCCTGCCAGAAGGTTAGAGCACGAGCACAGCTTCAAGTCCAACTGCTATTCCACAAACACTGACATATTCCTGGTTAATAGGCACCCCTGCCAGAAGGTTAGAGCACGAGCACAGCTTCAAGTCAGAAAGCTTCTGTTCTGAAGGAAGGAAATACTGCTGGGTCAGAAAACTTCTGTTCTGAAGGAAGGAAATACTGCAGGTAGCTCTGCCATTCTATCAGAAAAATGCATTTTTCAGTATGTGTCAATTGGTAAAAAGATACAGAAATCACAACAGAGTGGCTGTGGGGGTTTAATTTTTCTTTTAGGTTAAAAAAACCCCAAAGTTGTTTAGCAAAGTGTGGATGCTTTGAACTACCTAGGAAGACCTGTTAAAAGTCTCCCAGTTAATTTTTTTGCTTTTTAAAAAAAGCTACCAAACTGGCACAGAAGTGATGGGGAATATTCATTTACACCTTGCTGGGAATGCTTCTGATATTCATGACAGGGTCTTTTCTTCTGCTCAGACAGGGATAATCCCTCTTTAGCAGTTTTATTTGGTGAACTATGGAACAATTCTTCCATGGTAGAACACACTGAATTTCTGTCAATACAAAGCCCTGAGGAACCCACTCCTACATTGTTTGACACAATGGTGGCATTTGTGCCGTGTTAGTTTTGCCTCCTATTTACTGAATTGTCTGTATTTTAGATCTGAAATGGCTCCCCTAAAACTTGCTTTGAGAGTACAGAAATGTAGCTTAGTGTTAAATACTATCAAGTTAAATGAAATTTTCCAGAGGGGGGTTGGGGGTGGGTGTTTTTTTCTTTTAATTTTTTTATCCTACTCCTTGGGACTCTGGACATGCTGCTATTTATTGGTCTGTAGTGTTGCTGTCTAGGATGCAAATATACACGAGTAGCTGAGCCCTGCAGTCTGTCATTTGCCTCAGTGTGACAGGACTGATTTTCCAGAAAAAAACAGAATGATGCATTTCTGGGAAAGCTCCCTAAGCTACCTGTGACTCTGGGCATTTACAGAGGGGTTTTGTTACTCTCTGAGTGCTATCCAGGAAACTGTTTCTCCCAAGGAAGTGAAATAAAAAGAGCAGCACCAGTATAGCTGCAAGACCATCAAGAACTGCCTGGATATGTTGTCTGTGCTTATCACTTTGCATTAATCATGGAATTACACATTGCTTTTCAAGTTATGAGAATAGAAAATGCTATCTCTAGCCATAATTACGTTTTCTAGAAGGGTATTCTGGAGTGCCAGCACTTTTGGGCAAGGATGCTGTTTGAGACCACTCAGATCAGAACTTAATGGTCTGCTCTGGGCCATTGCAGAAGAAAATTAGCTCCACCTTTTTCTGATGAAGAGAAGAATTAGCCCAGTTCTGAATGGTTGTCACAGGCTGGAGTAACTGCAGTCTGAAGTGCAGGGTGGCTTCCCCTTGGGATCTGCACAGCTCATAAGGTTTATTATGGCCACGTTTACCCAACTGAACCAGTTTATCTTTTACCCTGCAGCAACACAAGGACTAAGCTGCACCAAATCAGAAGCAGTGAACAGTCATCTTTGATGATGTTTCCACAGATGGGCAGCTGTTGACATGTTTAAGGGAAGTTGATTGCTGTTGAAAGGGGAAGGGAGGAGGAGTGAGGCTCTCTGGCTCTAGTGGGGGAAGGTGAAACCATGACACCTGTCACAACAGGGAGTAGTCTGCTGGTGAACTGCAGACACACCATTTTCGTAAGCAATTAGGAAATTTTCATCAGAAAAGGTTCAAAAGCAAATTCTATACCAACATCCATTTCTCCAGTGAAGGCAGACTGGAGAATGGTTTGGGTTTCTGTTGAGCAAGGGGGCAGCTGATTGCAAAATAACACAGAATTAACACGTTAATTAAAACCAGTCGGCTCTGTAATTGGCTACATGATCCAATATTTCACGTTAATGAAACCCACTAGGAATGCTGACTGAGTGTCCCAGTTGGTACTTCTCTCTTAAATAACTATTTGCACAGGAAAATTGAAGTCAAATTCTTTCAGTGGGCCACAGGAATAGTGTGGAAGTGTCCCAACTGGAACTTGTAATGAACTCAGAATATTTTGAATGTGTCAGCTTCAAACTGGAGGGAAACAACAGAAATGGTTCTTGTCACACAAGAACAAATGGGCCTTGCTTATTTATACAGAAAGTGTTTTGTTCAAGCCAAGAGACAGAGTAATTGGTGATTTTTGTATGTTTAAAAACAGGTTTTCTCTCCACAGAGTGACTCTTGAATATTAATCTGAATTTTAAAAGGATATTACTTTAAGTGACCTCATAAAATTTAATATTAAGCCTATATTGGAATGTGCTAATTCACAGTTCAAATGGCATCCATTTGATGTAACATAACCTAATTTACTTCTAAACAAAACTGAATGGAACTGAGTGAAATCCATCCTCCTCTGGAAAAACATGTCTTACAGTGTCCACCCTACTTAAAAAGAATTTTAGATTAACTGCAGTCCATGGCTCCTATAGAGAAGCTCCTCCTTGCTCTGCTCTGTGAATCTCCAAAGCTGGTAATTTCAATGTCAGGAAAATTAATCATGGTGCTAACTAACTTTCCAAATAAGATTGTCAAATTACTTTTTTTACAGTATAATGGGATGCTTTCATTTAGACAGATAGATATGATATTTCAGTCAGTGTGTAGTTTAAGGTGCCCTTCAAACTAATGAAACTCTTCCAACATGGTGTGGTCCTCTTAATTCATTAGTGGTAACAGGACTGTTATTTATTATTGCTTATTATTTCTGACAAGCTGTGCTAGTAGGCAAAAAAAAACTTAGATAAAACACTTCACAGAAAATTAAAAATAAATTTAAATATTTCAGTTTGAAAAAAGAAGGAAGTGTTTTCCTGCTTTTAGTACTGCCCTGGGTCTCTATATTTACTCAGGCTTATCAGAAGGTCTTTTAAAAATGGCAAATCTTTTCTGACCAGCTTAGGTTGGGAAGCTTAATTCCATGTTAGAGTTAGGAACAAGTAACTTGAACTAAGCATTGCAATGATAGGCTGCCTGTGATAGACACAAATCTCAGGTCTGAAAGGGAAGGGGTTCCATTCCTATGGTATGTTCAAGACACCTAATGATGTGAGATACTGTTCCTCCAAGGCAGGGAACATTTTTTTCCATCTGAAGGGTCTCTGCCTATGGTCCATGCAAAGTCAGCAGTGCTTTCCTCTAGATGCCTTGGAGTGGACGTGGCCAACGTATGAGCATCAAGAAAATGGACTCCTAGTTGAGACACAAAATCAGAGGGTTTTAGAGCACTTTGGTAACTGCCATGTCCTGGCCTAGTGTCAGTGCTGTGCCAGGACACAGGCAGGCACTGGAAGTTCATAGCATTGCCTTCCAGAGGCCCAGCTTTGACCTCCCTGTGGCACAGGACCTTCATCAGACTGGCAGTACAACCATCACCATGGTCACACACACATCTCCGATACCATTGTCCAAGTCTGATTTTCCTCTCTGTCTTCACTTACTCAAGCTACTTAGCAAATAGGCCAACATGCAAATCATGCTGGTCATCTCAGGGTGGTACACTTCCAGGAGAGGTTGGCCCCCTCACTTCAAACTGACAAACAGAAGGACAGATTGTCCCCTCAACTGTTCAAAATACATATTGGTTTTCTACTCTGAGCTGATAAAACTAATTGCATTTGTTTTCTCTGCAGATGATATTTTGTCCCATCCACATGCTTTCTGTAAGAATCATCCAAGCTAAGAACATCAAGTCAAGAGACCTGTGTGAGTTGTGGTTTGATTGTGTTTTTAGTCACCTGCAGAGTTTACACAGTGAGCAATGTTTGTAAGTTCTGAAGGTATACAAACAATGTACATAAAGGTCAGCAATAGACTTACTAATGCCAGGGCTATAATTAGCTGAAGTGCCTGAGGTATCATTAGGTTGGAGGACTTACCTCATGGCATTTCAAGGAACTGGTAAAAGACAAGACTCTCAGATGAATTTCCTGGCCCAACAAGGAAAGTTAGAGCTTATGAGGACACTTCAGCCTGTAAATCTGCTTGGAGTTGCTTGGTTTTGATGTTCATAACTGAGACGTTCATAAACCATATAACAGACTGTGATTTTGACACACAGGCCATGTATTTAGGGACCTTTTGTTGAAATGTATCCATTTTACACAATAATCAAAGGTAAATTAGAGAATTTCAGGCCTTCTAAAATACAGTATCATTCAGGGTATTTGCTGTTCTTGGGTGATTGGTCATGTTAAATTGTACTGGTTGTTAAGGAAGGCCTCTGCAGGTCCATCCCCAAGCACATGCTGAACATGCAGGCAAAATAGTCTTTTCTGTGTACTTTTATATTCAACTTTCTTTAACTCATTATCTCACCCTCACAGCCTCCTATGGCTCCTTCTTGAGGTGTACTATGGACCAGCCATTCAGCTGCCATTTTTGCAGAGGTCTCCTGTGGGTTACTCGGTCAAGATAGAGCCCTTGAGCTGCCTTTTCTTACACTCTTGAAACCTCTGGCTTGTGTATTCCTCTAGTGGAAAGTGGCATGTTCAGCCAAAAAAAAGAGTCTCTCTGCAGTGGGTTACTTGAGTCACAGCTGGGACCATTTGTGAGCACAGCCTTGGCCAAGCCTGGATGCAGGGGAAGCCAGACAGAGTGAATCCCCCACTGGTTGAGTAACTGCCTGCCCAAGGGCTTCCTGTCCTCCTGTGGCAAATGCCACGTAGCAACGTGCAGAGGTGGACACTAGAAAGGTGGTGGTGTGACCAGGCCTGTATTTCTGAGTTTCAATGATCTCTTCTATCTACTCTATTGAAGGGACAGTTCCACTTTCCTGCCAAAACCTTGCGGGGCAATGTTATTCACTGCTTGATTCCAGTCTGAAGTATTTAGGCATCTCGGGCTGCAGTAGACATCTTCAGTCAAGTCCAGACTCCAGCTCTGGAAGACATCACCTTGGAGATTTCCTTTCACACCGTTGTCAAGCTTCACAAAGTAAATGTGCTTCCCCACCCCAGCTCTTCCCAAAGGATGGCTGCTCAAGGCACTGGCTGCACTAACCATAAGGAGTAGATGCAGGCTGGAAGTGAGATGGAGATTTCTGACTTGCTCATGCCCTCACGTTCTTGGGCCCACAGTGGCCTGGAGCTGTAACAGGTCTTCTTCCTTAGCACCTAACCCTTCTAGACCACCATCATGTCCCCTCTGCATGTTTGTGTGACTAGTATGAGCAAGCCAGTGCCCTCTGATTGTCTCTGTAATAGGTGTTCTTCTTTCCTGTAATCATCCTAACAGCCCTTTTTGGAGCTAGCTCTAGTTTCAGTTCAACTTTTTTAACATCATTGACTGGTATGGTAAGGAGTATGGCCAATGAATGGTCAGTGGGGTCCTTTTTGTCTCTTTCTTCTCACATGGGAAACATGGCTCTTGGTGTACTTTGTGTGTGCATGTGTACATTTGCAATTTGTAGATACCCAGGAATTAGGTGGTTTTCCTTGGTTGTTTCCAACTAATGGTCTCTTTACTTAAGGAAAAAAAAAGTGGTACTATTTCTCAGTCCCCAGAATCATGGCCTTGCCCTGCTTTTCATCTATACCATTGGCATCAGGTTTTTCATTTTTCTCTGCTGCAGTGACTGCATCAGACTGCTATGTGCGCTTGTGGCTGCCATCTGCTTCAAAGGAAAAGCTTCAGACCAAAACCATCAAGAATTCTGACAACCCTGTCTGGAATGAGACTTTCTACTTTAGGATCCAGAGAGAAGTTGAGGTAGTGAAAAAAAAAAAACCTAGAAATTTTTCCATTTTGAATAGCTGGGAATCCTCATTTGACCCCTGTTGATGAACCATGCTAAATAACTTCAGAAAATGCTGGTGTAACAGAATTGATAAGTGACTGATTAGCACAAAAGAGTAGACATCTGCAGGAGTGTTCCCCTCAGCTAGGTATAGACATCACTGATATAAATACTGACATCTGAGCTCGTCCAGGTTTCATTTGTTGTCACCTGAGAGAAATAAGTGCTGCTGTAGCATGCTTCATCTGGGCTACTTTGGGTGATTCATTCAGAAAGAGCTTTCCCTTTACTGGTTGTAAGGGAAGGGTGGAAGAGTTGCTGTGGTGTAGGCAGCAAATTTAATCCTTCCCTAAGCTGTGTAGTTAAGAGAACTTTGGGGATGAAGAAACCAAGTGTGTTCTTTGGGTGGGTGTGGTGCAGGGCACTGACATCTTTTGTGTCTCAGGATAGTGGGAGCTCTCTGTTATAGTTGTATAACCTACAGCTGTACAGGTTGTGTTTAATGATGGTGTTCCACGTGAGCCAAATCCCCAAAGGAAAGGGCAGGTTTCTTTATTCTCACCACTGTGCTAGTCAAGCAGCTGCAAGAGTCCATAAGCATTTTATTGTTTCTGTGTAATAGCAGCTCAGTAAGAGTTCCTATTTATTTTCTTCCCCTACCAGAACATTTTAGAATTGGCAGTGTGTGATGAAGATCCACTCACCAAAGATGACATGCAGTTCACAGTTCTTTTTAATATTGCTAGAATCAGACCTGGGGAGACAGTCCGTGAGACATTCACTTTGAAATCAGAGGTAAGGAGTGAAAATACAGGGAGAGAGTGGCAAGACATTGGCTCCCATGTTAAGTGGGGTTTGGGTCTGCATAGACAGATATCCTTTCATATGATTATCAATATCTCATCAAAATAGATATCATTGTGCTGGACTTTTGTGACTTCATTAATCTCTTTTCACAGATTCAGAAACTGAAGCAGCTTGTCTCTCATGCCCACCATCTCTGTGGGGGAAAAATATGTTAACAGGGAGCACCTGTAAATAGTAATTTTTATCTTTTATATTCCAAATAAATAACTTCCTTACTTTTTGGCTTTATTCCCCTTTTGCCATGCTTAGAGGACATTTCCTCTTAAATGGCAACTTTTTATTAAAAACACAAAGACAATCCACTCACCACTTGAATGAAATGATTCTTTCAGGCTTCTCCTGTTGGAATGCTGGGTTTCCTTCAAAGTGATTCAGATTTCTGTAGCCCGTAGTACAGGGACATCTGTTCTGCTAACATCATTGGTATTCTGTTATGGAGCCCATGAAAACAAGCTGTCCAGAGATCAAAGCTGGGACAGGGCTGTGGCAGCTCCTGGGCTTGTCTCAGCTGTGCCTGGGGTATTGCTGCATGCTCAGTGCAGGAAGGAGGCAGTCCACACACAAGAGAACAGCTCCTTCCCTAGTGCTGAAAGCTGTTCACCTGAATCTTTCAGATGACTCTGCAGGCTGGTGCCATCTTCTTCCCAGCCAGTGGGTGAGTCACTGGGAAATACAATGATTCAAAGACCACCTCAGTCCAGAGTGCTCTTGCCTGCTTCATCTCAGCTGAATTCAGTGTGAATGTGATTTAAATGGTTTGTACCTGGAAATGACACTGGTCTTACTCACATTTGTTGTGGGGCTTCCATGCCTTTCCCCCGTGCACAACATCTTTGCAAAAAGCCATTGTTATTTCTGCTTCAGTGAAGCTTTCCCTCTCTGGTTGCACCTTTGGAAATATGTATAATTCACCATATTCCATAATGGGACAATATCAATCTTTTGCAAGCTTCTGGTTCCCATTGCAACCTCAGCTTTGGAAAGAGCTTTTTTGGTAATATTAGCAGAAGAGATGTCAGTCATGGAAGTGCTTTTTAGGTGTGTCTACACTGCCAAACTCTTGTAGCCTCCAATAATCCATATTCATTTTGCCCTTTGCTTTTTAGAGAGAAAGGTGTGCTAAGAAATGGGAAAGTTTGGAAGTGGAATTCTGGATGGAAAGAATGTGAGTAAAATTCCAGTGTGGAAGGGTATAGATCTGCCAGGGAGTAATACTCAGTGTATGTTTCCTACAAATCTTACCTTCTGTTCTATTTCCTGATCATGGAAATGTTGTAACATTGGCATGATGTGATAACCTGTACACAAGATACATGTAAAACTCAAGAGAGGTGCTCTTCAGGTTGTCAGGGTTAAGTGAACAACACTTAGAACACTGTGCTGTTTCTAAAAGACCAGAAAACTTGTGTTATTATCACAATATATACGTAGAGTTATATGGACAGTATTAGAAAAGTCACCCATTAGGCAATAGTTTAATTAAAATGAAAAAAAAAAATACACTAAACAAATAATAAAATTAAAAGCATCCCCCTCAAAGTGGTAATCAACATTATCTGGAGAACAAATTCCTTAAGATAAACTTTATCTTAATGCTACCACAAGTTTGGCTGAAAAAAACCACCCTTAACTACATGTTCAGGTGTATTTGAGCTTAGCATTATAAAAATCAGGAATTACAGTCCAGTCAAAACTGACTAACCACATGATTAGAAGAAGGAACTGCAAATAAGGCTTCTTGTTCTTAAACATGGAAAAGCTGCAGAAGAATATCACTGGTGTTCTTGGTTAATTTCTCCCCCAGTGACACTCAAGAAAACCTTTTTAATGTGCCTATGGGAGGTACCTTACGAGATGGTATGAGCCTCTCCAGGAAATGTGGAAGGAGTCAGATAGATAGAAAGGACAGAATGAGATACAGTGCTTGGCAGCTGGACTGAGTAGATCCAGACCACAAATGAGAGGAAGATCTTCCACCATTCAACTTACAAGGCATGTGAGGGATTCTCTTAGGAAGTCAAACCTAGTTATTCACATTTAAATACATGCTACAGCTGAAACAGAAGTTTTAGGGCTGGGAGTGGTGCTTGGTAAAACTCCCTGGACTTGCAGATATTCAAAGATTACATATGACATAACTTTATTGGGCCTTTCAGATATATGAAAGCACTTAGTAATGTGTGTAACATGTTTGAGTATTGGCCTTAATGAGAGATGCTGTTAGTAGGCTTTACAGGTTACTCCTATTATTAAATAACTCCATCCATTCAGTGACAGACCTTGGGCTTAGAAGGCAAAACATCTCCAGCAAAGACTTTCTATGACTTACTTCTGTGTTCTCCAGTCATGTACAGCACAGTGGGAGCTAATTCTCTTTTGCCATTCATTTGTGATCAGTTGTAAATTAAAATCTGGAACAGCCATGAATGTCTTTCCTAATAAGTATTTGCAGAATATGTTAATAGTAGTCATTGCTTTCTGCAAGTCATATGGTCATTTGCTAATAGCAGGACATGACTCCACAAATACATGGACACCAATATGTCTTTATTCTGCTGTATCTTAGCATCTAGTTTTAAGCACTGGGTTTTTTTGGCTTCTCCTGCCTTTGTTCTTGTTTGGCTACTATATTTTAGTTCATGTGCTTAGCAGGTGATCATGTATTACACGTTTAAGAGAACAAGTAGTGGTACTAACATAACTATATTCTTTTTTAAGCAGGAGATGTCATAAAACTACTATTAAAAAAAAAAACCCAAACAAACAAATCACAACAGGTACTCACACAGCTTTTGTTTGTTTTTTGATTCTGTCTTTTCAGTCCTGGCCCACCAGAGCACCTCATTACCAATGATGTCCTAGTGGTAAGGTTCACATAGGAATTTAGCTTGGAGTGACTTTTCCTTTATTTTGATTCCCTTGTCTTTCCTCTGGCCAACTGGCATTTTATAGAGCTAACAAAATCTACAATGATATTTAAGAACATGGTGTGAACATGGGCTTAACTGTTGCCCTCTCCATGCAAAAATAGAAGCTGTGTTTCTTGAAGTCCTCAGGTACTCCAGATGTCAATATTTTGCCCAGCTGTGGTTTGTTAGTGTTGCAGAACCTGTATTTGTTGGTGTTCAAAGTGAAAACTGCTTGTGTTTAATACCCCAGTATGGCACTTGGCAGGAAAAACAAAGGTTATAAAAGGGGTGAGTCTGTAGAAGGCAGTAGTAAATATTCAGGGTGGTTATGACTGGAAGGTTATCTAATGTAATAGCTTTTTGGGAAATGAGTTTTTTTAATAAAGAGTTATTTTAGTCATTGAAACATAGAGTCCTCTTCTGGTATTAGTCAGCCTGTGGTACATTACCTATCTCCTTGGGCTGGCCCAGCAGCTAAGAAACACAAAGCACTTCATGCCAAGCACTCCAAGCCTGCACACAGTTTCCAGGTGCCAGCCTTTAATATGCCTGAGGCAAAGTAACACGTATTCTGCTCTTTCCTCCTCATTTTCTGTGTGAGGTATAAGTGTTGCAATGATTGGCATGCGTTGTTCCTGAAATGGCTTGGAAAACTGTCCTGGCATGAATTATTAAAGGTGAACTGCAATGACTCAGGTGAAGGGTAGGGTGGAATAAATCCATGATCTCCCTGCATGAGGACCAGCAAGAAGATGCTTTGTAGACTAATCACTGCCACAATACACAGAAACTCATCATCATGTGTTTTTCTGCACCCTTCCTAAATAATTAGCAGATATATCATAGAAAAATTTAAGTTGGAAAAGACCTTCAAGATCACCAATTCCAACTATTCACCTAACTCTACCAAGTCCACTACTAAACCACATCCCTAAGCACCACATCTATACATCTTTTATACAGGTAGTGATTGTCTGCATGATGTTTCAATATCTGCTGCAGATGTGGCACTTGCTATCTTCACACCTTTCCACTCCTGTCTTTTACAGTCCCGTGAGGTTTGCTGCTTGGAAGTGCAAGTGGACATAAATGAAAGCAGAAAATACTTGAAGGGTATGTCGATTTCTCTGTGAAGTGAGGACATGACCAAATCAGCCCTATCATAGTCATTCAGACTCAGGTGGAGGCACTTCAGGGTACAGAGACAACCAAGAACGTTTGGAAGGCAATAAAATGTCATGCAGTGAAAGTCCCTGAACTGCCTCCAGTTCCAACGCTGATCTCTGTGTTTTTATCTTGAAGCTATCAAGTTTGGACACAGTAAACCTTGATGGTGGAAATATGAGATAGTGCTGACTTTGGGAGCACTGCAAGCAATGGGTTAAAGGCAGGAGTACCAGTTCCTGTGCTGTAGGAAACATGCCAGTGTGGCAGCCGATGGAAGAGTTTCCACAGAGAATGACTCCAGCAGAAAGTTTGCCAACTGTGTTGGGTATTTCACCTGAACAGCAGTATTATTCTCTAAACAAATGTGTTTTCACTAGAGAGTAAAAATCTCGTGCTTACGGTGGCTGCATCTCATGAGGGAACACAGAAAACTACAGAGGACAAAGATACTTTCTACTTCCATTGCGTGAAGGCTTGGGAGCCCATTCTAAAAGTCAGGCTGCAGGTAATGGGCACTGTACCATATCACTGTTCATACTGCTGGCTTGTTTCCAGTGTCACAAAACAGTAAAGAACTGGGTTGTTTCTCTTCTGTGAATAAGAAAAAAAACCAACAAAACACCATGTTGTTTGTTCTCTGTAGAAAGTTTCTGATAAGGAAGATGACAACAGCAATTTAAGTGACACCTTAACAGTACCACTGAAGTTTCTCCCTGTTGGACATAAAGTGAAAGTAACCCTCCCTGTGAGAAATGTAAGTTCTTCACTGTTCATATGATCTTTTGGAGAAAAGAGTAGAATTACCCTCAGTATTTAGCACAATAACCTTAAAAAACCCCAAACAAACGATCAGTTAGTAAGTCTGAGTGAGAGTTCTGTGCAACTACAAATTTCACAGCCCATTGATCTAGCCACTTGGACTCCTTCTGCCTCTTTTCTTCTCTGTACAATATTTGGTGTTTAGATGCTTTGCAGTTTTCCAAAAAGCTGTATACAAGGTGGTGGTGGTGGGACATTACAGGAGGCACTGAAAAATCTGCAGTTGAACTCTTCTTTTCCCCAGTCATTCACTTTCCTGCTCTCCTTTCTTTGTTTACAGAACGTGCCACTGCAGTTGTACCTCCAACTGAATGATTGGTAAGAGGACTGTTTTTTTTTTTCCTCTCAAGGTTTTATTGCTCTTTGAACTGTGAATCCTAGAAGAAAGTATCCTGTATTTAGATGAAAGGAGTGCACAAGACTAGAGGCAAAATATGACAATAGTTAAGTCACCATTAAGTCACTACCACAGATCAAAGGCCTTGGGAGAAGAGTCATGTCAAGATATAAAAAACCCAAATTATGAGAATTTCAAACAGTGAGGAACTCAGTCATAGTGTCCTTTGTGTCAAAGAACCAAAGGTTGAGATCAGAGACTTCTTCAAAAGGGACACAAAGGAAGAAGAAGGGAGAGGGAGAAGGGAATTTGAAAGAAGCAAAACATGCAGAGTCCATACATTAATCACAGATATTCTTAAGAAAACAGATTTGTGGCTCTGGTGATATCAATAGAAAGAAGCACAAGCTAGGGAAGACAAAATGTTACAAGTGATGAGACAGACAACACATAAACTGAAATTATTTGAATATCTTTTTCATTTTATGGTTTCTGTATAAATCTGTGGTACAAATGCCCGTGAAAGACCTTGTTAGGTTCGAGTCACCCTTTGCTCACAAATGATATGAAGCAGAAATAGGAACCATGCAGCTTACAAAGCTACTGAAAGACACAAAGAAGCCTGTCTTTTTTTCATATTTGCTATCTTGGGCTGGCAGTAAAACTTACACAGGGACATCAGAAAATAAAAACAGCACATAGAAGCAAAGCACTTGGTTTCTTTGAAACTGGAAGCTGCATTTCTCTTTCTAAATCTCAACAGTGAATCATGATTTTTTATGATATTTTGTAGACTATAGTTGATGAAAATAAAAAATGAGGGTGGTGAGACACTGGCACAGGTTGCTCAGGGAAGTTGTGGGTGCTCCATGATTAGAGATGTTCAAGAGCAGGTTGGATGGGGCTTTGAGCAACCTGCTCTAGTGGGAGGTGTGCCTGCCAGGGGCAGGGGAGTTGGAACTAGGTGATCTTTAAGGTCCCTTCCAACCCAAACCATTGTATGACTCTGTGATCCATACACATTTTAAACACCTGTACCTCTGGTTTTATCTGTGTTTCAGCACAGAAAAATTAGATGTGCGCTTAGGGTATGATCTGTGCCAAGAAGAGCAAGAGTTCTTGCAAAAAAGGAAGAGAGTGGTTGCCAGTGCCCTGAAAAGGGTTCTTCATCTGGACAGAGATCTCCATGGACACGAGGTCTGTGAGTTGAAATCCAAGCATGGGGTGTGAGTCTATTGAATTAAGATGGGCACAACCCGCCAGAAAAATTTTGCACGTTCATGACAAACCCATCGATTTGCATGGCAGCAGAACAGAAGTTTTCAGGGTGTCATACCCTAGACTCATCTAAAATTTCAGCTCAGCTATTCACACCTCTATTCACTTGTGTAACACTTGTTACAAAAAGTCAAAATTCTTTAGGATGGAGAAAGAGCACTTTGTAACATGCTTCTGCTGAAGTATGTTTTGTTGCCAAGATTCAGGGTGAATTTTTAAGTGAACATTTACTCCCTTGCTGGAAATATATTTGTTGAATATAATATATACAAGTTGGTGCTGTCCAAAGAATCATTTTATTTAATTAATATATTTTTTCTGAACTTTGCTCAAGACTTCCTTGAATTCATTCTTAACTACCTTTATTGCAGATTTTGTTCTTTATAATAAAACCATATCATTATCTGTTTTAAATCATTGCAATTCCAATTATAAAGAACAAGGGGAGGAGAGAAAGTTAAAATCACTCCGTATTCAAACTCACCCAAGATTTGGGGTTAAGGGAACCCAGTGAGTAGCAGGAGGTGGATTTAGAGGAGGTACTGGTAAAGACTGGCTGAATGTTGGTTTAACTTCATTCTCCTCCAGTGAAATCTGCTACTGAGGAAATTATAAGATGTAATTAGAATTTTTCTGAGCAGGCAAGTAACTTTTTGAAGATAACCCTTCTGTTTTGAACAGGTGCCAGTAATAGCTGTTATGGCAACAGGCGGCGGCCTCAGAGCGATGTCAGCAATGTTTGGCCACCTCTTAGCTCTTCAGAAGCTGGACCTGTTGGACTGTGTTACTTATGTCACTGGGGCTTCTGGCTCAACATGGTGCGTGCAGAGAATGAGAGTCGTGTTTGGAATACTGTCACCCTGCATTTCCACACAGGGAGAGAGATGCATCTCTTTTGAAGTCTTACATTTTATATAAGTGAATGTAATTCCCTGGTAAATCTATTATTGTTGGCTCTTGATCATAACTTCAGCTTAGCCTTGCTCATTCTCTTCTTTGGTGAAAGTGGCTGGGTAAATATAGTGATTTACCAAACCCATCTGAATTAGCAGTTGATTTCCTCACATTTCTGTTCTTTAGGACCCTAGCAGACCTGTATGAGCATGCTGACTGGTCTCACAAGTCTCTGGAGGGGCCACTTAAGGCAGTAAAAGAACAAGTGACAAAATGCAAGTTCAACCTCATGTCTATAGAGCATCTGAAGTATTATCACAAGGAACTGGCTGAAAGGGCAAAAGCAGGACATGTGTCATCTTTTACAACTCTGTGGTCACTTGTTCAGGAAATGTTCTTACATGAACAGGTATGTATCATGGTCCAGCTACACATTTGGGAAACATGCACTCATTTTCTTTAGAGCTTTACTCTTTGAGGGCATGACATAATGTTTGAAACGAATCCAAAGCGACTGAGGCATCCCAGGGTGATTTGTAAACCACAGAGGATATTGTAGCCAGGATTTTACATGGTAGTTAATGGTCTGAAGGTGCCTCTGCACTGTGGTGCCCAACAGCTAGCAACTTCAGGAGGAAGCTTTCACAAAGAACTGGGCAAATCCCACCTGAGTCAGGCCTAGTTGGACACCTAAGAGCTAGAGTAATCTGTCCTCATGTGAGGATTAGATTTAGCCTTAGTACTGACCTGTGGGATGCAGGCTACCAAGGCCTTTGACAACAATGTCCACCACAGCATCCTTCCCTGTAAATAGGAGAGATGTGGATTTGATAGCTAGACTGTTCCATGGATAAAGAATTGATGGTCACATCTGTCCTCTGGATGTTCACATGCAGAGGATAGTGGTTGGCTGCTTAAAGTCCAGATGGAGGTCAGTGACAAGTGGTGTCCCTCAGGGTTCCATACGGGGACCAGTGCTGTTTAGTATCTTCATCAGTGACCTAGAGAGTGGGATTAAGGGCACCCTCACTGTGTGGATATGATACCAAGCCATGTGATGTAGCTGAGATGCCTGAGGGACCAGATACCATCCAGAGGGACCTGGACAGGCTTGAGAAATGAGCCTGTGTGAACTTTGGGAGATTCAACAAGGCCAAGTGCAAGGTCCTGCACCTGGGCTGGGGCAGCCCCTGGTATCAATACAGGCTGGGAGATGGGGGGATTGAGAGCAGGTCTGTGGAGAAGGACCTGGGGGTATTGGTGGATAAAAAGCTGCACATGAGCTGACAATGTGAGCTCACAGCCCAGGAGGCCAACTGTATCCTGGGGTGCTTGAAGAGAAGCGTGGTCATCAGGTCAAGGAAGATGATTTTGCTGCTCTACTCTGCCCTGGAGAGACACCACCTGAAGTACTGAGTCCAGCTCTGAGGGTCCTCAGCACAAGACAGACATGAACTGGTGGAGCGGGTCCAGAGAAGGGCCACAAAAAGGATTGGAGGGCTGGAACACCTCTCCTGTGAAGACAGGCTGAGAGTGTTGGGGTTGTTCAGCCTGGAGAAAAGAAGGCTCCAGAGAGACCTTACTGTGGCCTTTCAGTACTTAAATGGGGCCTATAAGAAAGATGGGGATGAGCTTTTCAGTAGGGTCTTTTGTGAGAGGACAAGGGGTGATGGTTTAAATTAAAAAAGGGGAGATTTAGATTAGATAGAAGGAAGAGATTTTTCACAGTGGGAAGGGTGAAATACTGGCACAGGTTGCCCAGAGAGGTGGTCGATGCCCCATGCCTGCAAATATCCATGGTCAGGTTGGGCAGGGCTCTGAGGAACCTGATCTAGTTGGAGATGTCCCTGTTCACTGCAGGGGGAGTGGACTAGATGATCTTTAAAGATCCAACCCAAACCATCCTATGATTCTATGGTTCTATGATATCAAGGAAGATGTTACTGGGTATCAGAAAGGCAAAGAGAAAAGTGTAGGAACAGGAAGGAAGAGCTCTCATAAAAATCTGACTTTCAAATTCCTCTGGGTTATAAAACATCTGCTACCTATCCAAAGTCTGGTAGACTGTATCATGTTTTTTTTTTTTTTCCTTGTGCTCTTCCAGAGGCTTACTGTGACTTTTTTTTTCTCTCTTTGATTAGCCAAGAAAGTACAAACTCACAGACCAGCGCAGGGCATTGGAGCATGGACAAAACCCATTGCCATTCTATGCAGTCCTCAATGTGAAAGATGAAAAGTTCAGTACTTTCAAATTTAGAGGTGAGCATTCCTAGATCTTCTTCTGACTCTTGAGTAGGGACTAGAGAGAATTTGGAGGGAGGGTGCATGTGTGTGAAGAATAAAAGGGGAATAAATCCATTGCTTGCCCTGTCACAGTATTCATCTTTTAATAAAACGTTTGTCTTCTTTGTGACCTGCTGGGTGTTGATTAGAAAGATCAAATCTGGATAACACCCTCAGGCACCTACAGGGCATTTCTGAAGAACAGGGCTGAAGTTCTAGTTTGAGCACAGACATTGTGACTGAGTGTGGGCAAAGCACGTGATCGTCTTGTGCCTCAGTTCCACAGCTATAAAATGGCTTTGGTGGTTCCTTTAGCTTGCAGAAATGACAGTGTCACTCTTCTGAATACTACACTGAGGAGTATCCAGAATACCCTCTTACTGATAAGGGCATGAAAATGGAGTGGGCTATGATGTGTCTTCAGCCTGCTTTGTTCTATCACACAGACTGACAGGTTTGTGTTAGTAGAGGTTTCATGGCAGTCATTCCTTGCAGGTTGGATCACACTTGCATGCTGTATGTGTGATGCTCTTGATTTAGAGAGGCAAGTAGGATCCCAGATTCCTTAATATATATCTCAAAGCTTTTGAAGCTAACATTAGACTCTTTCTGAGGTGAAAAAGCTAGTTCCTTTTGCATGCAAACCATCTCCCAGATTGTATGGAGCTAGACAGTGTAGTTTGCAGTACAAAGCTACTGATAGTACAGAGCTGTGAGGACAAGCAAGATCCATGGAGCCTGTGGGTGACTTTATCCACAGGGGAAGGTTTTGTTCTCTTACTTGTATTACAATAAACATGTCACATGTCAATTTGTTTGTAGAGTGGGCAGAGTTCTCTCCTTATGAGGTGGCCATACCAAAATACGGAGCCTCCATTCGCTCTGAATATTTTGACAGTGAGTTCTTCATGGGAAGGAGAGTGAAGAAGCTGCCAGAGTCTCGGATCTGCTACCTGGAAGGTGACCTAGCAGTGTGATATAGTTAATCACAGCATGGTACCAGCTAGCCACTGCTCTGGGTACAGCACTCCTTGCCAGCACGTCTGCTCTAGGTCTTCATTCAATGGGCTTTTTAGCCCTTTTGTACATTATTGCTCTTTGCAAAGCTTCTTTCCTCCTGTCCTTCCTTTTAACCTGGGCAGATTTGGGAAAGCTTCAGCATGATTCCCCTTCCCATTTTTCTGAACCAAACAAGAAGGTGGAGAAGGCAAGTTTAGGAAATTCTGAGCCTTCCTTATAGTTGTCAACTCTTCAGCTTCACCAACTATTTTTCTAGAGAACACGTTGCTGGGATAGAATTCAAAGAAGTTTGAAAATAAAGTATAAGTGATATAGAACAACCCACAAAGGTGAGAACCATCTGAGCTTTGTGGGTTGAGAACAGTGTCTCTAATCTTCCCTGCCCTTAAGGATGAGGGAAGCCCTCTTAAACACCAACTGCTTTGTCTGGCTGTTCTGCCTCTAAAGGTTAAGAAAAGGGGAGAAGCACCTCGTTACAGGAATCCATCTGCCCCTGGCAGATTTTAAATCCTTGTCAGGATTTTAGTTTTTGATGCCAACAACAGGGTCCAGGGGAGACAAAAAATGTGATATTTGGTAGACATTGAATTTGTTCCTCATGTGAGGACCTGGCGTGGGGCTTTGTGACAAAGCACAGTTCTTTCTTTTCCAAAAGCAGACTCACATATGGAGCTGATTCTGTTTTGATTCTGGACCAGTTGAACTCCACAAAAACAAAACAGGCCTGAAAGGAAAAAAAAAAAAAAATGGGTCTTGGATCAATTTAAAGATGAAATCAGTGTAAAGAAGGGCTCTATGCTTATGGGGTTTCACTGTGCTTCCAAAGCTGCCTTTTTTTTTCACAAGTACACAGTAAATACTCTAAAAAACCCTTCAAACAATTAAAACATTGCTTGGGTGGCTGATCCTTCTTAATTTGTTAATCTCTACTACACAGGGAATGTCTGAGTGTAGGTATCTCTTGAGAAAGAGCGTGGAAGTGGTGACACCATTATGTTTGAACTGTGTGAAACCTACTGCTTAAGCTCTGCTGGGACAGGGTCACTTCCATGGGCCAATAATATGTAGCATGAGTACTGGTAATAGCCAGTGTTTGTTTAACACGTGGTGGTGCAGGTTTTTTTCCTCTGTGGTTTGACTTGCAGGTCTTTGGACAAACATCTTTACTAGGAATCTGCTGGATGGCTTGTACTGGTCCTCAAATTCAAATGAATTCTGGGAACGATGGGCCCAAGATATGGTAGATATAGGTAAGAGTTTCAAAATCAGTGTTTTTGACAAGACAGTGCTTCCTATTCAGGAGAGGATTAAGAAACATAAACTATAGCTGCTGTTTGTGAATAATCTCTTATGTATTCTCCATAAATTGCTGCATGTTGTGTTGCCTCACTAGGACTCTTCCAGCATGGTTTTCACCTGTGTCAGAATGATCTCTATGTAATGTTTTCATATTTTATTTTATTTTATTTTATTT